TAATCGTGGTTTATCTCAAATATGACAAAGTGATGCAGTATTAACAACTGGATGACAAGGTTTTCAGCATAGATTATTGCATATAATCATATCACTTTGGTCAAACGGCTTTATAATTCACCTTCTGTTCATTTTCCACTCTTACTTTCCCTCCTTCTTATGCTAGTTGTTTGTTGCCACTTTCCGTATCTCTGTTGTTGGAGTTGCGTCATTCTGACTGAACATGTAAGGGGTCGAATTAGCAAGCAAAGATGCAGCGAATAACTTCTCGATCATTCCACCTAACTATATTACAATTTAATACTGTCACTCAACCTATTATGTAATTGTATGAAGCTAAATGCTGTGGAACGGTTGAGCTTCTTCTAGGTTTTTGAACTTGTCACAGTCGAGCATTCTAGATCTCCCTGAATTTCTATGTTCCAATAATCTAACTGAACACGATCTACTATTTTGTCTGTCCCATGTAATTGACCTCACTGACAGTCATTCCATTTTTTCCCTCACCTTCCCCAGTGGAATATAGGGCTTCAAGTTTCTATAGTAGTGTTTATTTTAGAGGATGGAATCGCTAACCTCATGCGAAACCTTGCCTCTTTACCAGCACTATTTCTGGCTTAGTGAGGTAAAGGAATGCGTCGGCTGGGGAGAGAATCCCGGACCATGTGCATGGTTAGCGAGCGTCCTAACCGCTATACCACCGACGCAACGACGGTCATTGCATGGTATCTGACAAATAGATTTTCTGAATTGGATGTTTTTAAGTATTCGTTTTGCAGGTAATTTTTGATTGATTAGCTGGAGGATTTCACCAAGAACTTACGTCAGTTTGAGTACAATTGGAAAAAAACCTGTGGGGGATACTGGATAACTGTTCCGCCAGCCTAGTTTGGGGCTCTTCAGCAGTATGCGCCCACCTCCAGGGTTTTAACTAAGGACATCTTTGTTGCAAGACTAGCGAACTCTCAGACTATTAAACCACTGGGATCAGCCAATCCATTGGCTAGCCCATGAATTCTAACTTCTGCTAATTTATAACTTGGCGTGACCGCTTCTTTCTTCGATGAGTTACTGTCTCACCTTCAGCTTGCTGCACTCTAGTGTATTGGGTCCTCAAGTTAACAAAGTCTATCACTGAGATAGTTTGTTGGTTGTTCCTAATATCGCTCTTATGTCTAGCCTCAATTAGAATCCTACAAATGGCCTCTGACGACCCTTCAGAGGACTTGAATCTCATATTATTTTTGTCATTTACCTTATTCTTCTAATTTTTTTACTGTTCTTCATATTATTATTGTTGCTTCTTTTAATTCTGCACGTCTCCATTGCGTTCGGTTATCTGTCAACGTTCTCATCACCTGGCTCCACGTCTGCCCCCATGAGTTCATCTCCTTTTCTTAAAACCTCCTTCATGTCACTCTTGTACTGACGACCAACTCGCCACTTCCCATTCGGGTTCCACTCCAGTGACGGCATGGCGTGTGTTATGTCACCCACTTGATGGTTTTCTCAGGCTATGACCGATCCATCTCCATTTCTTCCTGCATATTTATTGCACGATTGGTTTCTGCTGAAATGGTTCGCTCATTTCCAGAGATCCCTGTTGCTGATCTTTTCTGGCTGGCCATCTGATCTTGAGTGAAGTATTTAGCAAAGACAGCTGTTGATGAAGGCGTGTAGTAGTTTCGACGCGGCCTTCGTGATCTGCTGGCCGAGTCTTTGATCTGTAGAATAGAACTGACTTCACATTGGAGTTAATAATCCAGATCTTGTTTTTTCATGCTGAGTTCTGTTGACCTCCACACAGACTTGAAAATAATGAAAGCTTGTCTTGTTTTCCCGATTTTTGCCTTGATATCCTCGTCAGTTCCGTCTGTAGTTGACACAGTGCTTCCCAGGTAGGTAAAGGAGGTTGTTTCTTCCAAGCTCCTCCCATCTATGCTGATTGTTGTCTGTTGTTGTTGTTGCTGTTGGACAAGAATCTTCATCACCTCTGTTTTATCTATGCTCACCTGAAGTCCTATCTTTGATGCATCATCTGTAAACTTGTTGCTTTTCCCTTGCATATCTTTCAGTTTGTGGGAAATCAGATACATATCATCGGCGAAATCCAGATTGTATGGACGATTTCATCATGAACTGACATCGGTTAGAGAACCATTGAAAAACCTGAGAGTACTAGACAGCTGTTTCATCCTAGTCTGAGACTCTTCATCAGTACGCACTCACCAACAGGATTCGAACACAGAACCTTCTGGTTACACGATCAGTGAGCTTGTGGGCCATTGAGCCACGAGGACCTGATCCAATGATCCATGAATTCTAACTTCTGCCAATTCACGACGCAGCGTGATCATTTCGCTATGTCTTCTTCTATGAGTTACTGCCTGATCTTCGACGTGCTGTACTCTACTGATCACGGCTTTGCACTAGAAGACACTGCGAAATGGTCACGCTGTGTCGTAAATTGGCAGAAGTTAGAATTCATGGATCATTGGATCGGGTCCTCGTGGCTCAATGGCCCACAAGCTCACTGGTCGTGTAACCAGAAGGTCCTGTGTTCGAACCCTGTTGGTGAGTGCGTACTGATGAAGAGTCTCAGACTAGGATGAAACAGCTGTCTAGTACTCTCAGGTTTTTCAACGGTTCTCTAACCGATGTCAGTTCATGATGAAATCCTCCATACAATCAAACAAAACCCCTACAAAACAAATAATTGAAATCTAGATTCTACGAGCTTTCGTGTGCGTCCACTTTATGCATGTTTTCTCGTCGTTCCCTGTCTGTCACATTATCCAATCAACAGGAATCAGGAGACAGTAACCAGCCAGCCAGCTTGTCTTACTCCTGCCTTCACTTTGAAAGATTCCATTAGTTTCTCGTTGGGGTTTACTTGGCATGCAGTATCATTGTACAACTGTTGGATGAGATATTTATTTGTTGGCAGCACCCTCTAATAGCAAAGTAGTTGCCAAATCACCTCTCTTCATATAGTTTTGAATAAATTTTGGTGCAGCTTTTGACCGAATTGAAGCGACTTTTCACTAAACCGCTCCTCCTTCGCTGATTCTAGATTTATTAGAATGTGTGTCGGTTTCCTATAAATCCAGGTATCTAACTTACCACCATCTTGTTTTCGTTGTATTCTACAGTCTAGTCTAGCAACGCCAAATTCACTCTGTTCGTCATCTAACTCAGAAATGTATTGGATCCAGTTGCCAATACTGCATAATCCTTGCAGGATATTTGAAATAAACGTATCCATGATAGAGTGAATAACATGCCACTTTGGATAATTCTTGTTATCACAAATCCCTGCACTTTTTCATCGATATTATCAGTTGAATTATTACTATGATTTTTATTATTATTATTATTATTCTGACTTAAAACGCGGAATATGCATATTTAATCATAGGGAATTATAAAAATGACAGTTGCCGCAAAGCCAATTCTCTTTTCGACGGATTCGCCCTCAACTAGATAGCTGTACATTCTTGTATTTTTAATAAATAGGTAAGAAAGTTCCAGAACAATATGTGGTCAACGATCAAATTAATAAAATTACAATTAGGAATTAAAATGACATAATAAACACACAGGGGACGAATAGAAACTCAAATAAAGGAGCATCATTATTACTGAGAAGATTGACTTGGATTGTGCAATTAGAGTTTAGAAATGTAGAAATAACGAAATATACAACATGTTCTACTCAACGGTCTACGAGCTCGCCTTGTAAGCAGATGGTCATGGGTTTGAACCCCGTCGGTGCGTGCGTACTGCTGAAGAGTCCCAAACTAGGACGAAACAATTGTCCAGTACTCCCAGGTTTTTCACTGGTTCTCTAAACAATGTCAGCTCAGATGAAATCCTCCATGCAATCAAACAAAATCCCTACAAAACCAATATTTAGAAATGTTCGGATAAAAAAATCTAGTGGGATTATAACTAATGTGATGAATACTTGTTTATGCAACCAGGGAAATAAATATGTGGAAATAAATAAAATGAAAAAAATAGACAGGAAGTTCGTATATGAAAATACGGTAGCGTAAATAAGGATTAAGAAAAACTTAAAAGCAACCTGCATAAACAGGATGTTTGGATAAGAACGGCAGTAGGATACTCAATATTAAAGGAATTACTTGTTTATGATGCCCATGGCAGGGACAAGGGTTGGACATATTTCTTTTGGATACATAGCGTGAATTTGAGCTTTGGGATCGCTAGTGCCTCGGCTATGCCCAGATGTCTTAATTCCACTACATTTGAAAGGTATCATCGAATCTCATATATGCTTTTGAATGATGCTGAATGTCCTGAATTTACTACATACACGTTTACGTTCTCCCTTTACCAGCCAGTCTGGATAGTGTTCAGCGGTGCATTTTTCAAACTGGCGCATTTGAGCCTTGACTGAAAATTGTTCTCGAACTTTCCCACCCATTTATTATAAATAGTACAGCTATGATCTAGTTGACGGTGACTTCGTTGAAAGAAAACATTTATTCGCCGAAACTGTTTTTTTATTGTTCTGACTTTGTGTCCAATGTATATGCTCAATTTTATCATGATAGTATTGACAAGTCATCATGATCGATTTATTCTTGATTACATTTATTTGTATAGTTATGTATAGATATGTAAATTAGAAGGTTATTCTTAACAGTCTCTAATCGAATGTCTAAAATTACGAATTATTTCCTTCACGTTCTCGGTGGAACATGGGGCTTCAAGTTGGAGACTTGAAGTTTCTATAGCAGTGTTTCCATTATTTTATCGGGATGGGGTTGCTAGCCTCATGCTCAACCTTCCCTCTTTACCAGTCTAACTACTGGGTAAGTGAGGTAAAGGAGTGCCTCCAGTGGCCGGGGATCGAACCCCGGACCATTTGCATGGTCGGCAAGCATGCTAACCACTGTACCACCGACGCGCCTACGTATTATTATCGTCTGTTTAATTGAATCTCTCTCTCTATTTTTTTTGTCCTCATTTAGGAGATCGCCGTTAACTCAATCTCATTTCCGTCGAGATGAAGTTTTGCGGAGGATGTATACATCAAAATCAATACATCATTATCTACCGTCTAATAATGCTGTCAATATTTCTTATCGGAGGATACTATGGCTATCGTTGTTTTTATCCAAACGACACGTATATTGAACTATCCAAAGTGTTAGTAATGCTTAAATTCTTCACATGTATTACACAGGTAACACTTCTTGGTACACTCGCTTTCAAATTTTGCCATTCTTCTTTCAGAATTTAGTCTTTATGTATTATCTGACATCGATTATATTTCTACTATTTGGCTATAAGAATTTACACGCCTATTTCTACGTGTCAACATTTGCATATGATATGGTAAGTAGTCGGTGACGTAATCGGGCATACTTTTCGCAGACTATGATGTCTATTTATTGGGCAGCAAATTTCTATGATCAGACAATGATTACTAGTATAGAAGATTTGAAGTATATGCCAATATGGTTTAATCATTTTGCTGTAAGTTGATTTCTACTCATTAGCATAGTACGTTTTGATTCTTATTCATATATATATATATATATATATATATATATATATATATGTTTAATTTTTATTATTGTTCCCTTGGGTTCCTAGTGGAATATAGGGCTTCAACTGCACGTCTCCACTTGTCACTCCTATCTTCTGCTATACTTTTCACCTGCACCATCCATGTTAGTCCATAATGTTTCAACTCCTCCTCTTCACACGATCTCCTCCATGTCACCCTCGCACTGACGTCTTACTCGCCGATTTCTTTTAGGTCAGGTTGCACTCGAGCAATGGCCTGACGCACGCGCGATGTCACCCAGTGGCTTCCTCGGCGAGTGTCCAATGTGTCATCTCCACTTTGTCCTGCATATTTTTTGGGCGATTGATTGGTTCTTGTTTTGTTTGTTTATTCCCATAGTTTCGTGTTGGTGATTCTTTCAAGCCCGGCCATCTATTCTTCAGTATAGAGCCAGCGAACCTATATATGTATATATATATATATATATATATATATATATATATAGGTTAATTTGATACCCACTTGTCACTGACCTTATTCAGATAGGTAGTGAACTACAATTTATAGTGTTCTCTGAGCTGGTTGGTTTAGTTGCGTGGCTTTCGTCGTCGTCATTCTGGACAACATCTTCAGCGCTATATTTAGTATGAAGTGAAATGATTTAATTTTCTTCATGAGCGATGATATGATTGTGTTTCCCCCGGTAACCATCTTTACATATGTTTAGACCATTTCCTATTGACTTGGATTTCAAACTTTTTCGTCACCTGGTTTACTTTTTATTAGTTGGTGGTATATTTGGTTATATTAACGTGTTTGTTAATTGTGTACTCGTTTCAGTACCAGGCTTCCAGGAATTCTCTGACTACACTTTTGCTGCTTCCTCTGTCTAAGATTTCGACATTATCCCAATCAATTTGATGTCCATAATTGTCTATGTGCATTGATATGAAAGTATATATGTCGTGTCTTTTCACAGCTGACTTGTGTTCTTCGATTCTGATTCGAAGAGGACTCTCACTTTGACCGATATGATGTCTCTTTCACTTCATACAATTTATTTTATAAATGGTATTCATTTTATCCCCTTTTTCAGTTGGATCTTTCTATTCGCATAATATCAAATTAAGCGATTTGCCTGGCTTGTGTGCTAAATCTGTATCAAAAGGTTTCAATATTCTAGCCGTTATTTCAGAGATATTTCTCATGTATGGTAGGATGAATTTTCTTGTGGTCTTTGATGATGGTTTCTTGTTGGTGTTGTGATTCGACTTTAAATACTTTTTGATGAAATTTTGTGGATAATCATTCTTCTTGAAGGCCGTTTTTAGGTTTTTTTCATTGTTTTCACCTCTGGAGGGCTACAATGTGTTTGAACACTTTTAAACAATGTCTACACACAGTTTCTTTTATGAGTAATTGCATTATTGCTAGTATTATAGTTGAGTATTTGATCTGTGTGCATTGATTTTCCAAATACTTGTGTTTCTTAATCTCCTGTGTTGGTTCTCCTGACTAAGACATCTAAAAATGGGATTTTGTTATCGAATTCTTCTTCGCTTGTGAATTTGATGTCTTCAAATATGTTGTTTATTAATTTATGGGTATATTCTAAACCATTTCTCCTAATTATTACAAAGGTGTATCATCAACGTGTTGAGCTATCAGGATTCTGGTGGATATTCGTGACCACTGGAGTACTGCAGATTGTATGTGAGGACAAATGCGCACCACAGATGACAGTGACCAGTTCTAGTCATGAAATGGTAGATGTTGGAATTGATCCGCTTGCAATTAGGTTGGATCTACGTGGCTGGATGGTCTACGAGCTTGCCTTACAACCGAGTCGTCCAGGGTTCGAACCTTGATAGTGGGTGCGAGTTGTTGAAGAGTACCAAACTAGACTGACAAAACAGCTGTTGAGTACTGCCTTATTTATTTTCCGGTGGTTTTCTACCCGATGTCAGCTCATGGTGATATCCTACTACACAGGAAAATGATGTACTACTGTGATTGATATAGGAAGTTAAAAGCCTCCTAATGTTGGAGAATAATGCCATTGACGTAACTGAAATACTAAACCTATGATTTGCCCATTTTTACTGATCTAGCTTATCAGCTGTTATTGGTTAAAGCTAACTTAGAGACAGAGAGAGTGACAGAAAGATAGAGTCGAATCAGCGCAGTAATACAAAATCTAAAAATCATGTTGAAGGACACGAATATGGACTGAAAAAGTTCCAGGCGACACAATCAGAAATGTAACATTTTATCTCAAATTCTATCTTGATGTTCGTTGCCCAAAAGAGATACTTTTTTTAAGACTTCACCACTTCTCCCCTTGTCCACTCAAAAAATTATGCAAAATATAGAGAGTGAACATCTTGATTAAATCAGAAATCCAAAGATGAAACATGATCTATAACCAGACGTCTTATCATGCAAAACGTCATCAAATAAACGGAAGCTAATTGAGGAAATTACCGGAATTCAGCAAATTAACAACGATCCTTCTTCGGTCGATGCTTGCACACCTAATAAGTCTTTTGTATATCGTCTAGCTAATGTTATGACGTCAGGTGCTAATAACGATTGCTCCTCTAAGTTTAATGCGAATTCTTCTTATTATTATATCTTTTAATTCCTAGAGGAACATAGGCCTTCAGCTGCGCGTCTCCATTGCGTTCGGTTTTCTGCCAACTTTTTCACCCTGCTCCAAGTCTGCCCATATGCTTTCATCTCCTCTTCGTATGACCTCCTCCAAGCCACCCTTGGATGACCAACTCGCCACTTCCCTTTCGGGTTCCACTCAAGCAATGGCTTGTCTAGTGATGTCACTTGATGGTTTGTTTTCTCAGAGTATGGCCAATCCATCTCAATTTCTTCCTGCTTATTTGTTGCGCAATTGGTTCCTGGTTGGTTACCTCAATTCCAGAGATCCTTATTGCTGATCTTTTCTGGCAGGTAATCTGTTCTTGAGTAGTGAGTGAAGACAGCTGTAAATGAAGGTCTGTAGTTTGTTTGAGGTGCTCCTTATGACGCGCCAAGTCTCTGATCCGTATAGTAGCAATGACTTCACATTAAAGTTGAAAATCCGGATCTTATTTTCGATGCTGAGTGCTGTCGACCTCCACACAGACTTGAGAGTAATGAAAGTTTGTCTTGCTTTTCTGATTCTAACTCTGATGTCATTGTCTGTTCCTTCGGCCTGTAGTTGAAACGATGCTCCTCAGGTAAGTAGGTAATGGAGGTTGTTTCCTCCCTTTTATGCTGATTGTTGTCTGTTGTTGTTGTTGCTGTTGGTGTTGGCCAGGAATCTTCATCACCTCTGTTTTATCTATGTTTACTTGAAGTCCTATCTTGATGATTCTTATATCGCCAACTTGTCGCTTTTCACTTGCATATCTTCCAGTTTATGGGAAATCAGACATATATCATCGGCGTAGTCCAGATCCTCCAGATTTTTTGTGTGAGTCCATTTTATGCCTGCTTCCTCATTTCCCGTTGTCTGTCGCATTATCCCATCTACTGCAATCAGGAAAATCATTGATGATAGTAGGCAGCCTTGTCTCACTCCCATCCTCACTTCGAAGGATTCCGTTAGTTTCCCGTTGTGGATTACTTGGCATGCAGCATTGTCGTACAACTGTTGAATGAGATGTATAATTGTCGATGGGACCCCGTAGTAGCGAAGTAGTTGCCAAATGACCTCTCGATCGGAGCTGTCGAAGGCCTTTCCAAAGTCGATAAAGTTGAGATAGAGAGGTGACTGCCATTCTAAGCTTTGTTCAATGATGATCCATAGAGTGGCGATTTGATCAATACCCGACTTGTTTCTCCTGAATCCAGCCTATTCCTGTCGAAGTTTTCATCCAGGGCTTGTTTGATTCTCTCCAGAATGATGCGGCTTAGTATTTTGCTTGGGATGGACAGGAGCGAAATTCCGCGCCAGTTTTTGCATTGACTTAACTCTGCTTTCTTTGGTAGTTTGAATAAGTGTCCTTTCTTCCAATCCTCAGGTACTTTGCCCTCTTTCCACACCTTCTCCAGCAATGTCGTCATCAAGCCCGCTGTTGTCTCTGGGTCCAATTTCCATGCTTCTGCTAGGACTCCATCTGTTCCTGCTGCTTTTCCAGCTTTTAGCATCTTGATCGCATTCAGGACTTCTGAAATCCCTGAAACCTACCGAATACCTTGGTTCGCATGGTGTATCAGCAGTTTTTTTCTCGCTGATATTTTCAACGAATCCACTTCTACTGACATTGTGCCTACTCATTAGAAGGATATTGAAATTGTTCCTGTGTCTGAATTACCGAGTGAATAGAGTATTAACTTTAGACCTACTGCCATTATTTCAACGTTTTTAAAAATTAGTGATAAAACTGCTTTTACTTAACTTTGAACCTTTATTGAAAGCATTTAACGATTCTAATTAATTCGCCTATAAACACAGTAGAATTACTTTAGATGCCAATGTCGTCTGATATCACAATATTGTCTCTAGTGTAGACACGGGTGTCAAATATCTTTGGTGTTCCTGCCTTAATTTCACATCTGACCTATTCGTTAAATAAACTTGCTGTGACACAAACAGAGTGTTGGACAAATTAGTGGTTGCATTGTTACTTTTCTGATAAGAATTAGTGCACTGTACACAATGGGAAGTCTTCCATCGCCCCACTAGCTCTAGATAATGTTCCTCTGTGAGCTGTCCTTTCTCCTTTTCTGTTTTACTTCTTCTAACATGACTTGCATCACTCTTCTGATGAAGCCGATTTTCTTAGTTATGCCAATGATCTGACTGCATCTATGCCGGCATTTACTTCTCAGTCAGCGATCCTCGTCAAATGTATCTAAGTCTAACCCCTCCAAATGTCAGATGGTTAACTCAACTTTCAATTGCAAGTGCGACTTACTTGGAGTAGTTCGTTCGCGTGGTTCCACTATCATCGATTGAAGTGAATTT